GAACACGTCCTGCCTCCCTCTGGAGTCTGAGGGCAGAACAGATACACCTGCAATGAAGGACCAGAGCATTCTGCGACCACCCTGAGCAGCGTTGCCCATGATGCATCCTAGGGTTTTAAAGTACGCCCCAGCCACCAGAGGGAAAGTTTTTCAATGCAAATCTGACCAAGTCTACCCCTAACAGCTCTCCCTAGCAGTCATCCTCAACCAGGGGGCATTTTCAGTTGTAACAGTGACTGGGGTCGCTCCTATATGTACTGCCAGGGGCCAGAGATGCTAGACATCTCAAATATCAGAGAGATCCCTCAAAATGCCAGCAGTGCCCCTGAGAAGCCCCACGAAACACCTGGCTCCCCAGAGGACAAACAGCTCCTCTGTGGCCATGTTCCCACCTGACATCCAGACTCACTGCCCACATTGCTGCCACCCACCTTCCACCCATGCCAGGAAAGCATGCAGCACCCGCACACACCTGCGCCTGCTTCTCACCTGGCCACCTTACTGCTGTCCTCTCTACCTAGGAAGTCCTCACCCTCCCACTGCTATCTTCAGCCCAGCTAGTGCCAAATAGGCACGCTCGGTTCAGGACTCAGCTTTCTTAGAAACCCTCCTGGGCTCCATAATCCTTTCTCAGCTCCCCTCCTGCCCTGCTCCACCCAGCCATGGTGATAGCCCTCCCTCGTGCTCCCAAGTGCACCCTTCTATCAACGCCCTCCTACTCTGCTTTAAACTGCCTGCTTGTGGCTCTGTCTGCTCTCCTGGACTGCTGGTTCTTTGAGTACAAAGACTATGTTGTTGATCTTTGTATCCCCAGTCCTTTGACCATAGTCAGTCTATAAATAATGAATGAAGGAGTGAGCGGTTCACAGGCAAATTCTGCTATGACTAGGTGAGCCCTCGAAGTGTAAAAAAATCCTGACTTTGGCAGAAACATCAATTTGTCCCCCAGTACCCATCCTACCTTCTTCCCTTAAGCTTGGGTTGGACCCAAAGCTACCCAACGAGACACTACACTTCCCAGTCTAGGTGTGCCCATGTGATTATGCTCTGGACAGAGGTACATAAGGGGACATGACATATACAGCTTCAAGGTCACATCCTTCAAAGGAAGCTGCTTGTCCTCCACATACTGGAACACAGTACAAAGGTCAGGTGCAACCATGTAGACAAGGACAAGACACCCTATCCAAGTAACAAGACACAGGGACCTGGAGTTGAACTGCCCACTCCTGGCCTCCCCACCAACTGGACTGTTTTGTGAGGGGAAGTAAATCTTCCATCTTCTTTAAGTCACTGTTATGCTGTCTGTGTTAAAGCAGTAAAGTGAATTTCCTGGTTCTTTCCCATATTGTCTCTCAAAGATTCACTTAATCCATGAGATCATATTTTCCTAGCGCCAACTCATACCCAATTTTTTTTTCTACTCTTTGCCCTAAACTCTGTGGTTTCACAGAGAGGTAAAGAGCTGTTACATTTAACAGTAGAGGGGCTGGCCATTATCGATTTTAAAATTAACAAAAGTAAAATAGATAAAATAATTTACTTAAATTTTTATTTTAATTTGTTAAGCTTCCTGGATTCAATTCAACTGCCATATATTGAACACCTACTATGTTTAAGGTGCTGTGGAGAGATCAAAAGAAGTGTCTGCCTTCAAAGAACTTGTGATTTAATAGTGTGCTGCTGTGCATGTGTGTGGCCAAAGGTGTCTATGTATTTATGAGAAATAAAAAGAAACTTCTATTATAATAGAAAAGAGAGTAAAACTCTGAGAAAAAAGAAATAATGAATTTCAGGATTCAGTTCAATTAACATTCACTGAGGACTCAAGCTAAGTACATACAAACAGTGCTTGGTTCAGAGGAATCAAACACTAATAAGACACATTCTATTCTCTGCTCTAAAAGTTTGAATAAGAGACTGACAGGTAAATAATAATACAAAGCGAAAAGCGTGCAATATGAGTTGATACAAGATACAGAAGTGGAACCAAAGAAGTGACTTACCACTGCGGGTCAAGAACGTGCACAGAAAGGCTTCCTGGGGACATAGGAGCTTGAAGATAGGGCCACTGTGAGCACAGCCACAGAGGCACAGAAAAGTAATGCCAACACCATGAGAAGTTTGAAATTACCGGCAAATAAAGTGCAAGGGGTGAGTGGTGGGAAATGAAGCTGGGATCCAGAGATGGGCACTTCAGCCACTAAGCTCCGATGTAACTGTCTTGGCAAAAGGGAACAAGCCTTGGAGGTTCCCACAGCTCAGCTGGGTCCACACCTCTTGCTCAGCTCCTGGGAGACACTGAGGAGAAGCTCCAGCTAACACACATTCTCCATTCTTAAATATGGCTGCCAAGGTCAGCTTAAACAGGAATCTCTAAGCATCCTCCCCCAGAGCCTAGACCCAGTTTTAAGCATTTAGTGGTCTTGCACCTGGCCCTATACTTTGCCTTCCAAATTAGCAGACGTACCCAGCCACTAGCAGCACCCTCCCAAGTCTCATTTTTCCTAAGGAAAAGAGAAGAAGGAATTTAATAATTTCTACTG